GAGTAAGGTAGCTTTAGCTATATAGGGGGATATTTTTAATAGGCCTTTATGCGGAGTTTTGGTCCGCAACTGCAGGAGGCAACCTTCATAGAATAACATAGCGAAAGATTGATTTTTATAGGTATGTCTTCCCTTATTCATCTGTAAGAGCTTTAATATCTAGGTGGGTAGGTAGTAGAAGTAAGTGAGAATAAGCCTAACCCAGATAATAATGATGATAACAACAACAACAACAATAAGGATAAGAGTATACCTAACGATAGCAAAGGATAACAGCAAAGGATGATAGCAAAGGATGATAGTAAAGAACGATAGTAAAGAATGATAGCAAAAGATAACAGCAAAGGATAACAGCAAAGGATGATAGCAAAGGATGATAGTAAAGGATGACAGCAAACGATAATAGTAACGAAAAGGATAGTAATAAAAAGGATAGCAACAAAGAGGGTAATAATAAAACCAGGGTAATAACAATCATAACACTAAGATATAACTACTAGTAAGTAAGATATATAGAGTGTACTGCATGCTTCGGCGTCGAACTAGCTATGCCTAGAAGTAAGAATATATTTATAACCTGTTCTAGCGTAAACTTAGGGTTAGCGTAGCTCCAATCTCATCTCCGTTAAGCATATTGTCGTAGCAGAACGTAGAGTGCTAGGGATAATGTTATAAAGCTTCAGCTAAGCTAAAACTCTTCTGTAGGCCACTATGGGATCTTCACTTTAGCTTTATATGTCTGTCTTATGAGAAGCTTAGGGTTAGGTGAGAAAGTAGGTAATAAAAAGCTAGGTAAGGATAGTAACCCTAACTATAACCCTAACTGTAACCTAAAACAGACATTAGACGAAAGGTTAAGGCTATAACTCTTGCTCTCAACCCTAATAGTAGCTCTAACCGTAACCCTAACTATAACCTAAAACGGACACTAGATGAAGTAGTGCTGTTTTACTAGTTAATATAGGTTAGGTTAGGGCTAGGATTTAGGCTAGAAAGAGGCCTCTTTAGGGCTAACGAATAAGTGATGTAGAAGGGGGGCACTAGGGGGCTAGCAAAGGGAAAGTATATTAGACGACGATATATATTAGATTCTGCGTTTAGAACAGACTAGTCATAGGTATCTATAAGCCTGCCAGCAGAGAGGGCTTCCAGGACTTTAACTATAGAGTTCAAATAATATATATAGCTAGAAGAAAGCCCCTAAGGGCTTCTTAGACCTAACTATTCGAATCTAGATAACCTATCATATGTGGCCAGAAGCTCCTTAGGGCTTCTAGGACTTAGACTATAGTAGTCCTCTAGACAGCCTAGCCTATTTAGCGAGAAGCCCCCTAGGGCTTCTCAGACTTAACCATAGCCTTTAGATAACCTAGCCTATTCAGCTAGAAGCTGTTAGGGGCTTTAAAGGACCTAATCGTAGAATTTAGATAACCTAACCTAATTAGCTAGAAGCCCCTTAGGGCTTCTAGTACTTAACTATACTTAACTATAGTAGTTATCCTCTAAATAACCCAGCCTATTTAGTGAGAAGCCCCCTAGGGCTTCTTAGAAGTTAGACTTAACTATAAATCCTAGATGCCCTGCCGCAGTCAGCCATAAGCCCTCAGGGGCTTCTAGGACCTAGTGGTAGAATTTAAATAACCTAACCTAATCAGCTAGAAGCCTCTAGGGGCTTCTAGGACTTAACTGTCGAGGCCAGATAACCCAACCGACTTAGCTAGAAGCCCCTAACAGCTTTTATGACCTAAGTGGAAACCAGATAAGGCAAAATCTACCTGCTTATAATACTCTCCTAATGATCACTTGAGGGAGGAAACGCTCTAAATCTTATATATATACTTATTTATCTTTTCACCTAACCTTAGGTAGATCCTTAGGTTTATATATAGCTAGTTAATCCTATAGCCTCTATAGAGCTTCTTACCCTTAAATGCAGCTAATTAGATAGTCGAAATAAACCGTAAGGTATTTTACTTCACTCTATATATCATATATAGTGAGTATAATCAGCAGGTGCTCCCCCACGTCTCCCCTCTATTAAAAAAAAGGTATATAGACAGCAGTAAACAAATAAGAAACCAGATAATAGTTTAGATCTAATGCGAATTATCATGAGCGGCGTGTATAGCCCTAACAGGGAGATGAGAGAATAGCTGATACATATAGTATTTATAAGGTAGGAAAAGAAGACGTAGAAGCAGCCTAGCAGTAAGAGCAGACAGATACAGCTATTTAGATATCTAGAAGGGAGGGTAATTAGAACGCATATCTATACCTAGCCAGAAGCAGGCTTAAACACCATATCGCATCAGTCAGGGAGAAACTAACGCGTTAATACTAGCTAAATCCAAAAGAAAGATAAGAGGGAGGGCTGCTTATATCACAAACCACGTTATTTAACTAATTAACAGTAGTAGATAGTATTAAATACTACAAAACGTAATAGCAAGTAACTCTGATATTTTCTTACGCAGCAGACTTAAGCAGAAATAAAGCATATAGGGACATACAGACAGATCAGGTAACGCAAGGAAAGGGATAAATAAATGATCTAATACACTAAGGGTATTACTAACTCCATCTATAATTACCTAATATACCACAGCTGATTACATAATAGCTCATCTACCATCAACTGCCATACTTAATCACCTCACTAAACTCATAGCTTAGATAAAGTAAATAGCAAATAGCTCTATAAGGGGTATCCTAACGCAGGAGGAAATAATATAGATAGTTTATATATACCAGGAAGAAGTAATCCCAACTTTAAACAAGCTCGCTCGCCACCTCTATAAACTTCTATGATTTCTTTATTATACTATTATTCTATATTCTTTGCAAACACACACCTGCCTATCATAACTACCACTCCACCAGCCATATTATCCCTATCAGGCTGAGACTAAATACAGCATACTACATAAATTCAAATAGATTAGAACTATATTCCAACCAATCAGCAGCGCCTTCTAACCCCTAACACGTAAGTGCAGTCATATATAGGTTAAAATAACCTATTAAGTCCCACATAACGCCAGTTTATTAAGGAGCTATACCCTCTCTATTCCTACAGCCTATAATAAATCTCACGATTTACTGGAGAAAATTGTCGATCAACTAGAACAACATTTCATCCACCATGTCTAACACGTATATATACCAGCGTTACGCAGCAACTAATAGGACAGCATAGGTAAGAACGTCGTTAGACCTCTACTAGACATCCTTAACGAAAGATATTAGCTATAGAGAGAGAGAGTATTCATCATATCTCTAATTCTATCTCTAGCCTCTTATCTACATCTCGCCGAAGATGAAAAATGCGCACTCACAGCTCACCAGACAAGTTATACAGCCTATCTACAAAGAGCGCAGACTTCTACTACGACTTATATAAGTACTAACCAACCACAAGAACGTCTTAAAAGAGCGTAGTACGTTAGAAGGGGAGAGGTTACAGGCACATATAGTCTGAAGCTTATTAATATGAATAGGTGTATAGCAATTACAGTAGGCACAGCCCTCCATCCTGGCTTCTACTGGGATGCTTATTAGTATACATACCATAGACCAGATTATAGATTAAATAGTTCTATGCCTTAAACACCGCATAATTATCCTATAAGCTGCTAGGGACATCTAGTGCATATTATTAGATAATAACTAAGGTCAGCCTAGGCGTAGATAGGGACAGAGGTAAAAATACTAAGAGGTTAAAGGCAGATAATAGATATAATAATGTTTTCTTCTCACGCCAAGCCGAGAACAAACAACGTCAATAGATATAGTTAGTAGGCCTATATCTAAGCGTCTTATAAGTATATCTATTTACTAGAGTTTCCCCTAAGCCTCGTCTGCGCGAAATTCACTACATATAGGATCTTCTAGGAAGCAAAAAATATTCTATATCATAATACCCCCCTCACCTAAAGCCCTCAAGGGCTTTCTTTCACAGCTACTTAGACCAGTAAATCTAGGCATCTAGGCCTCAGATTACCTCTACCCCTTCCCCTATAAGCTGCACGTAATTATTACTTAGCTCTAGCTGCAATAACGTAATAAAGGTAGAGAAACTAAAGATAGAAGCAAATCTTAAATAAGAATAGTGCTCTTACACATTCCTAAGGTAGAATATAAGCTAAGTACATATAGGAAGGTAGATAGAAGGGAGGGGAGGGGGAGGGAGAGAGAGAGGGGTATGTAACATTCCTAAGCAGCTAGCACTAGCTATATAGAAATTCTAATTGAAGGCTGCTTAGACGCTGCATCTATTGTAAGACTTGTAAGGGAGTATAAAAGAAGAGTGCAGCAGAACGACATAGTCTACCTAACCTTAATATAGCTAACTATAAGCTAGCCTAGGGATATAAGCCTAGTAAGAACGCATTATAACGCCCTCTTCCTATTCACTAGCGTATTAGGACCTCCTACGTATAGATATATCACCCACCTACGCTGCAGAATATTTATAAACCTTATTATGCTTAGTAGTACTATTATTATAATAAAATATAAGCGTAGCGCTGAGGATATAACTCCTATACACTACAGCTATAAACGATAAGTATCTAATAAGCCCTTCTAAGATTAAAAGTTAGTATAGGAACTTGTGAAGCCTTACCTCTTAGCTACCGCAAGACTATATATTGATATTATAGACATAACGTAGAGTAGGGGTAGTAACTATTAAATTAAACCCTCCTATATATGCAAACTCTGGGACGTCTTTATGAAGGTTAGCCTTAAGCGTAGTGCGCCTAAAAACTATATGTTCGTCCTATATAGCGCTGAGGATGTCTACTGAGCTCTTAAAAACAGGTAAGACGACTAAGATAGCAGCAAAGAAGACGCTAGGGAACACCTATTGCTCCAGTAGGCTGATGTGAATAGGACTAAGGTTGAGGTTATAGCTAGCTAGCACTATCTCCACACCCTCTAGGAATATATAAAAATAATAGGTGCTGCAGAGTTAGACGCTTAGTGGATATATAAGCTATATGATAAAGGTGAGTTATAGAACCCTCCTGCGCGTATGTTAAGAAGTAAAGGTAGCACTAGCTTAACTTATAATAACAGATAAGCTACCCCTAGACCTTAACATAAGACTATGCGTTAACTGCTAAGACCTAAGCCTACCTGATAACTATAGATAGATCTAGAAACAGCTTATGTTAGTAGCGTTAGACGCTGCTAGGCTTAGTATGTATATCACTGTTAACTATAAGCTTATAGTAGGACTACAGCTTAGCAGTAAGAAGGGCTTCCTAACCTACTAGCTTGTCATATTATGGAACCATAAGCAGTAGTAGGACATAGCCACCTGCTAATACTAAACACGCCTAGGCCTAGAGACCTTTAATATATCGACCTTTAAGTAGATAGCTAGCCTCTATATCGATAGCTACTAGTTTGCGACGCTTAAGACAGTGCTTAACATGCTTAACGCCCTCCCCCTTAACGTGACGTAGGATGTGGGGCTAGGCGACTGGAATATGCTGTCTGTAGCTCTACTTACTGGCAATAGTAATGGGGAAGCTTGCGCCTAGGATGTTATTAAGGCTGCCTTTTTCCTCACTAACAGCTGTAATAACACTAACACCACCCCTTAATATACAGTAGAGCTTCTCAGGACATTAGACGATAAAGCCTATAAGAGGGTTTATACTGCTATATCAGTAGCGCTTAACCTCTCCTTTGTCGACCTCAGGTGCTTCTTATGTCCTAGGAGGCTAGAGATAAAGACTGCAGTCTATATATTGCACTAAGTTGTTAGTTGGATTAATAGCAGAAGTGTGGCTAAACTTACAGACGTAAACCCTAAGTCTAAGAACAAGCCCCTACTACTTAAGCATATTCAGGCCGCCCTTAATAACCTCAGCGTATATAGGGGCTCTACTACCTATACTGAGAATACGGCTACATAGCTCTAGCAGTATATGCTTAATCTCACGATATACGACACAGATGCCTTCTAGGCGTAGGAGGTGTAGGCCCTAACTATAGAAAACGTCACCCTTGTTGATAAGTCTAACTATAGTGCCTGCTTCAGCCATATTAGCTGAGCATGCATCCTCTATGTCGTCTGGGGTATTACAGATACTAGTGATGCAGTAATAGATATACTTAGGCCTGAGTAGGGGATACTAGCTAATATTAATAGAGACCTCCGCTAAGTGTAAGCTTATACACTCATAAACACCTTCTGTGCTACCTTCTTTAAGATAAGTAACTAGCCTGTTAAGAATAGTAACCTTAGACTCCTTAAGTTGCAGTATAAGATTAAGGAGGTCCTTATCTCTTTTATAGATCTTCTAAGGCTTCCCCTCTTCAGCCTAGCCCCAACAGCTGAGAATATAACTACTAATGATAAAGATAATCATAACGCTAATAAAAGTGTCAGCTCCAGCCCATAACGCTATCAAAAACGCTCAAGCCTAGCAGCTAACATCCCACCTCTATTAGCGCAGGAGGACATAAGCAGCTGTAAGCTAATAGGCTGTAAGGCTAGCCTCAGCTGCGCTAAGGCGCTCTATATACTATTAGACGTAGAAGGGCAGGCCTTATTAATCTCCCCCTGTTAGCTGTCTGATAGCCGGCGAAAGGGGTTGAAGACCACTTCGCTAGCTGTGAGGCTCCTATCGCTAGCCACTACCCCCTCTAGTAGAACGATAATAGTAGCCTGGAAATCAGGTCTTAAGATAGGAAAGCGATAGATTAGTAGCTTTACTAGGCTTAGGGGGGGTTCTTCTAGCTAGCTAGCTACCTAGGGATTAGGGGAGAGAGAAGGCGATGGGGTGTAGGGGGGTGGTCTGAAAGGATGCCTAGAAAGAACTTTGCCTCTAAGCTATAATATTACAAGTGCGTTTTGTTTTTAATACTTATATCCCCTGTTTTATCCTACTAAACGATATAAACATACCTATCTATTACATACCTATATATCATAATCTCTTACTTTTATACCTAAGAGCAAAGCAGACATTTATTATACTTAGTTATAATGCGACCTTACGCTCTGAGGCTTATATTCCCTTTTCTATAAGAATACCTATATGAAGAAAAAGCCCCTAGAGGCTTCTCTCTCTATCTCCCTTTTTAAGACTACTTAGCCCTTCACTCTAGATTAAAGCCTTGTGTCTGCTTATTCTACTACTACAAATAAGCCCTAAGGGGCTTCTACCTTTCTCCTCTCATAAGACTCTACAGCCCTTCACTCTAGATTAAAGCTTTATGTCTGCTCATTCTGCTACTGCAAAGAAGCCCTAAGGGGCTTTTCTCCCTATCTCCCTTTTTAAGACTACTCAGCCTTATACTCTGGATTAAAGCCTTATATCTGCTTATCCTGCTACTGCAAATAAGCCCCTTAGGGCTTTTTTTATCCTATATATCTACGCACCTATCTCTATTCCTTAAGTATAGGTCACATAACACCTTATATTCTAAGATCCTAGAGTAGCCTCTACGCAATATCCTATCACTATCTTATACTTTCCTAGTCGTTATACTACACTAGATAATAAGCACTTAGGATAAGCTCTTTCCTTAAGCTAGGGGCATATTATGCCTTTCCCCTCTATAGCAAAGCAAATTAAATAAAATTCCACTCCTAAGAGATAGGGTATTATAAAGAGATATATTAGAATATTTTAATATTATGTTTATATTCCGTTAGCTAGGCGATATCCTCGCTAAGAATGAAGTAGTATAGCCCTCTTTACGCCTAGGCCTAGATAAAAGGTAGAGACCTAGCAGTCTGTAGCATCTACTAAGAACTACATTACAACTAATCCCACCCAAAACAATTAAATCAGACTACCAGAATCACAGCAAGACTTACACGCTGCCTCCCCCACTAATATATCTACTAGCACTAACCCTATAGCACCCCCTACTCATAAGTTATAGAGAGATAGCTTAGCTGTCGAAGAGGATAATTACTATGAAGTAAGCCTTAACGAAGTAACAGACGATAAAGGTTGTAACTATAAAGATGAGGTTAACATACCTAGCATACGTAGTAGACTGCAGAGATAAGCAGTTAAGCACTCCACCAGTCACCACCAGCTTCATAGTAAGCATTAAGACTACCCAGCATACACAGCATGCATAAGCAGTAGAGAAGCTAACATAACCTAAGAACAGCAACACAGTTCATCTCTAAGGTACTATCAGACACCTTCAAGCCAGCTAACACCCTTAACATACTCCAAGTAAAGCACATAATCAATTTTAAAGCCTAATCAGCAGGGGCAACACAGGCTAAAGTTACAGACACCTTTATCCCACAGTTCTTCCTCAACTTCTTCAGCATTATAGGTAAGCCAGGCCACCCAATCACAAAACCTAGCGCGCCGCTCCTCAACAACATCATCATCTCATTCCAGAGGTATAGCGCACCCTACAGCACGAAGCATATAGGCAGCATCTCATTCAATATAACAAGACGCACGTTTAGGATCGCACAGGCCAGTACACAGGAGGTCTAGTTCATCATCATACACCCACTAGCAGGCAATACCACCCAGTCAACAACATCAGCAAGCTATAGCCAGCAGGAGGCGCAGCAGCAGAGTTCATTACACAATAGAATACCAATCAGACTAACCCATAAACTCACATCCTATATTATAAGTATCTTCTAGTTATCACAGCTGCTTAGTGAGGGCATTAATATATACTAGCAGCCTAGTAGCAAGGATAGCTAGCGTATAAGCTCCGCGCAGTAATATATCTTCTAGACATAGTTTATAAACAGATAGGCAGCGTAGGTCTCCAGCAAGCAAGACGCTAAATCATACTAGCGACACCACAAGCTAGCTTTCTATATGTACGATTATAGCGTAAACCTAGAGATTAAGGTTGGGGAGGAGATCTTCAACCTGCTGCAGGAGATGTACGCCTTCAGGGAGTTAGATAGCAAGGTAGACGTAAGCTAGGATGAGGAGGATAGGGATACAGTAGCAGAAAACAACATCTAGGCCAGCCTGAATAGCCTTATCCTTAACAACAGTAATAGTAAGAGTAGTATAGGCCTCATAACATAAGAGGAGGATAGCTACCCCCATAACGCTAACAACTAGATATACTAGTAGATACTCAGGGAGAGCGATAAGCTCTACAAGCTAGTTACTAAGCTTAGCTCTAGGTTCAGCCTAGATAACACTACTGCTATCTCCTATGCGCTTGCTATCTATATCTACAGCTAGTTAGATAGAGGCTAGACGTAGTGCCTCCTAGTAGACTAAAACATAGTAGCCTAGATGTTCCCTAGTAGCTGCAACTACATATTCTACCCCTAGGCTTTCTATCCTAGGTATAGCAACTTCTCAGCCAGCTAGCTACCTGCATTCCTAGACCCCCTATATGCAGCTATAAGGGGTAACATAAGCGACTGTAATAATAGCGCTAATATGCTCTCATTTAGCTACTTCTAAGGTTACTCTAACATTAAGCGAAGTGTACGCTACAGCCTAAACGCCCTCCTCGCAACAAAAAGATATATAACAGCTGCACTAATAGCGCTAACATCCCACACATCCACCTCATCACATACGAGAGATAAGCAGGAGGCTATACTGTAGCACATCTGCAGCTAACTAACGCTAAGGAGCTTAGAACAGTCTAAGCTGTTCGCGTGTAAGAGACAAAAGCTAGAAACCACTATTCATCAGGAGGAGTTTGCATACTAAATAGAGCAGGTCGTCTCACTAAATATCCACTATATATGCTGCGTAGAGTAAACGTTTACTGCTATAATCTATCCTATCTTCTAGCTTATATGTTTCTTTTACGCTAAGCATAAGTTATATATCTGCCTCTTCTGCTCCATCTCACCCTAGGTCTTCCCTAAGGTGATATATATATACTCCTACGTATTCAAGCTAGCACTCAGCAAGATAGAGCAGCGCTATATAGCTAGGGGGGAGCGCAGCCTTAACCTAGCCCACAGCAAGGCTATCACAGTCCTCAACTAGCTAGGGGGGTATATATTCACAGGCCACAAACGCCACCTCCTAATAATAGTACTCTAGCCACTTAGCATACTAAACAGCCTCCAGTCTGATGCGTAGCTTTATATTAACCCTGTAGTCCTAAGTTTAGACAGCCTAGCTAGCAGTAGCGCTATTATAAATATGCAGCTATAGCTACGCTTAGCTAAGATAGGCAGGCTTATGCTACTATATATTAATAAGCTCTGCTACTACTATAGTGATAATATAGCAACTAGCTGTAAGATAGATATCTGGTTTGACTAGCTAGGTGAGGATGCCTTTAGGAGCCTCTTAGATATAATAAGCTTCATAGTAGAGCTCTTATGTGAGATATAGATCCTCTAGATGAAGCTATTTATAATAAGCTAGCTACAGCACAAGCTACAGGAAGCAGCTAAGCCTACAAGCACACCAATCACCTCTAACCAAATAGCAGCATGCAAGTCCGCTATCACTATATAAGAGGCTACACCAGAAGCCTTCATAAGCAAAGCGCTACAGAAGCTAACCCAAGCTCTCACACTAAACAGCTCACACTTAAAGATAGCCAAGTCAAAGCCACACACCAGACGCAACTACGCTGCCAAGCTAGTCCACTCCATCACCACCAGGAAGAAGCAGGCCGCAGTCACCCCAATCCACTCCACCTAACTAAATCAGCTACAAATAGCCATAGCCAGCAGCAAGCTCAGCCAGAACAAGTAGGTCACCATACTCACAAGCCAACTATACACCACCAACATCAAATAAGCACCCAACACCATCAAGAGCCACCTATCATCCACAACCATCATCTACCTACACAAGAGATACATACGCGCAGTAGTCACAAGCCCACCCAGCTCGCTAAGGCGCACCACACAAGAGGCGCAAATCAGGCATAAGAATGCGCTATACAACCAGGCGCTCCACCAGAAGCGCAAAGCTATCAACTTCAGCAACAGCTTCCCCTTCACCAACATCCCCCACCTTATCACAAACAGGTTCCTCCAAGCCAAGGCAACCTTCTCCAGCAAAAGCAATACATAAGTTCTAAACCACTACCAGCTCGCAATAAACATCCTCTCCAGCAACATCAACAACCCCCTCTGTTGCCTAATACTAATAATCACATTAACTATTTGCTCCTCATCAGAAACGCCAGAGGTTACGCCTAGATCGCACGAATTCAGGACCACAACTAAGAGAAAGGACCTAGCCCAGCTAGCCCTCATTATAATCACAAAAATAATATAGTTCCTCTACCCCACCTCATTCCCCTAAAAGAAGGGTTTAAGTAGGATAGCCTATAATATAGCTAAGATAATAAAGAAGATTAGTATAGTATAACGTAAGGATAGTGTGAAGCTTATAATGCTAATAGCGCTATAGAGCATAAGGGGTGCAGCAACTAGATATTATGTGAGCTGGGTTAGGTTACCTCAAAAAGCAACCGCAACAGCCCCTGAAACACAAACCTGCAGCTGTAGCCTTAAGGGGACCTCCTCTAGACACTCTGAGAGCTACAGTTGGCTATGAAACAACCAGACGACTTTATTAGCGTGGTCTTCAACAGCTAGGACAGCATCTAGACAGAGCGTTACGCGAGCATCATCAAGGATCGATAAGGTTATATAAATATAATAAACAGGCGAATAAGGGAATAGAGATAATAGGAATTAAGTAGGAGATATAGATGCTTTTAGTTTTTCTTTTCTAATTTCAGCGGGCGAATCTAATAGGAGCTAGGTGATACGTTTCTCCACTAGCCTCTCTTGCTAAGCTATCACGCAGGGGATATATTAACTATTATATTGAAAGGTTATATACCTTGCTAACAGGACTATTATCCTAAGGAAGGAGAGTATAAATAAGGATTAGAGATATAAGAGACCTAGATACAGTATATAATATGAGGCTAGGCGGTGCCTTGCGGGAGAGGGAATTTTATCAATATGTTCGTAAGTATACGTAAGGTATCGCACTCTGATGGCTCAGAACCGAGAATGTAAACGAAATAAAACCTAAACAAGATATTTATTGCCAACAGAGAGGCCTATAACAAAACAGACTGGATATTTAAGATCAGGGCAAAAGGTTGCACAGAAAAAAGCTGCAAAAGTTGCGACCCGCTTAGGACTCGAACCCGGACCTTCCCCTTAGCTAGAGGGGAGCTCTGCTAATTAAGCTAGCAGGCCTCTCATCCTAACTAGTAACATCTCTGCGACGTTTCACGCCTTTAAGGCATGCGCAGCTGTAGTCTCGCGCGCATAACGGTCGTTTCAGGCATACATACGAATTGAACCCACCCAGCCCAGCGGCAGCCTGCAGGCGCATCCTAAACCGGCATTGCAACTAGCTGCTATGCTGCCACGCCCCTATAGCAGCATAACGGGGAAGAAATGGATAAGCGATGGAGGGTGCAAAAAAGAGGCCTACCTAGGACTTAAACCTAGATCTTCTCCTTAGCTAGAGGAGTGCTCGACCGATTAAGCTGATAGGCCCTTAGCTGGTGATTCAGCCTACTACTGTTCTCCTACTTAAGCTTTTTGACGTACGTTAAGCGTTAGGAGTTGGCTTAGCAGATTACTGAGTTGGCGAGGAGTAACGCTTGCGGGTGACGTCGCTGGACCTAGGATAAGAGCGGGGCCTGCTGCTGTTAGCCTAGCTTAAACGGCGAGGTAGGGTGATAAGGCTAAGGCAGAGGGTATCAGCTAGCTAATTATAGAGAGGGGGGGAAAGAGCAAAAAGAAACGTAAGAAAAAAGGAAAAGATAAACAACCCTACTTAGATTTAAACCTAGATCTTCTCCTTAGCTAGAGGAGCGCTCTACTACTAAGCTATGAGGCCTCTTAACTAGTATTAGGAATGAGGGTGATATTATTACTAATAAAGCTTAGCAGCAGATAGCAATATAATAAGTGAGATGTTAGTAATAGGTGAAAGGATACTTAGATATTTATATGTTTAGCGTATATATAGTATGCTTAGCAGCTAGGACCTTAGGGATAGATCTATAGGTAATAAGTGATAGGATAGGGAGCTAGATATATAGCTTATATATTACTAAAGTAGGTTAGAGTGGAATAAAAGTGCTTTACCTTAAGTGAGTAGGTATTATAACCTTTATAGACGTAGTGATCTTATATGTTACTTAAACTCTGTATTACTCACTATGAGATCGTCTTAACTAGGGGAACGCTTCTAACTCTTTTAACCTATTTAATGCTAACTGTATAGCCTTAATCTCCTTAGGGCTACTTGCGTAAAACTTTTAGTTAAGAAACGTTGCTAAGGAGCGTGAACAGAGATAAAACCTATCCACTATACAGTTCCCTAAGTCTATTGCCTCTAACCTGAGGCTATGCTGGAGACTTCTGAGGAGTGAGGACCACGTCTTTCGCCCCCCTCTAGTGATATTAACAGACTTAAGAATAAGCTCCTGAAGTGTGTCGTGATGCCCCTCTAGTAATATTATAAGCTTGTCCTTTGTGTAGTCGATGAATTTAATATAGAGGCTCTAGAGGCTGGGAATTTGAAGATCCTTAGAAAGCCTTAGAAATTGCTGCCTTTTGTTGTAGGGATTGAAGTGTAAAGTGAAGTTAGTTAGTATAGGAAAAAGATAGAGGAAGCTGTAGAACTCTAGACACTAATCAGAATCTATAGTTTGGATTAGGTTAATATTAGAAACTAGTTTCTTTATATCTTTATTAAATATGTTCTAGTAGCTATTTAGGTTAACTATAAGTAGTAAGGTTTTAATAGAAGTAAGCTGATTCTTCAAAATGTCTGTAGATATAGGGATAGTTAATAGTATGCGTAGGGTGATAGAGGTGCAGCCTATCTTTAGATCGCTAAACTTAATATAGAGTCTCTCTATAGCATAGCAACTATGCAGCAGTCCTATAAATAGGGCTTTAATTAACGTGGTGGTAAAGACTATACTCTAGGCCTAGAAGGGAGTGATGAAGTAGTTTAGAAACGTGCTAATATGGCGACTAAGTCGAAGGGCCCCTTAGGGATGGACGTTGTCGTTAATACTAACAGCTTTGTAATAAGGGAAGTTAGATAATGCCTTAACTAAGTCCCTAATCTAATCTCCCTTTCTTAGAAGGAAGTCCCTATAGCTACCCTATTCAGCCCTATACCTCTTAATAACAGCCTTATAACTATTATCGCTAAGTAATAAAGTCTCACTATCGCTAAGCTTAATATAATTATATTTATCGTTAATCCTATATATCTTATAGTCTACTTGGCTTATATAATCTAGAGGTGCGACTAGGTAATCCATAGTAAGTTTAATAACTTATACTACGTAGCAGAGAACTAGATAGTAGGAGATCTTAACTAGGTTCTAGAGGCTTTAACGTTTAAGTATAATATAGCGTGTGTAAAAGAAATAGTCCTAGAAAGGTCTAGATATTTTATTAGCTAGAGCTTAGCAGGTAGAGCATAAGCTTAGTAGGTTGAGCAACTTAAGGTATTCTGATATACACCTAATAGTCTCTATAGGAAGATTTATAAGCTAGCTTTACGCTATTCTGAGATAGACTGTTGAGGTGAATTAGGAAACTGAGGCTGTAGAGTTAAAGCTATGTTGCTAGATATACTTAAGCGCTATAGTAGAGACCCCTATATAAGAGGATAACTAAGAGATACTGCTATTAGGTTATATATATGCTTTATATATAACGTAATTAGCAGTAAAAGTAGGCTGGAAAGTTTCCCATATAATATTTATAGCGTTTATTGCAAAGTATTTATATAAATAAAGCTATATAAGGCATTTATATCATATTATTATATAAAAGAAGAATGTTTCCCTATATACTATAGTTAGGTTAGCTGATTTGCACTCGAAATAAACTGGTATCTTATCGTCATGTGCCCTATATCGCAGTCCTCTAACGACGCTAGGGGTGAGCCAGCCCCTGTTATTCCCGCGACCCTGTAGTATACACATTCTATCCTAGCTGCGCATGACGCCTAAGCAAGAAAGCTGAACTGCTATCATTATTATATATATAGCAACCTGCCTCACTATGCTTACTTAGGTAGACTCTTATTATAAATAGATAATAAAAAGTATATCAGATATATAGGAACAGCTGCTAAGTAGCCCTTAGATTAGCTTACCTAACACTATAATAGCACTTTAAGATAATACTACCTTAAGTGAGGCTGTTTAGCTACTACACCTGTAACTACTACTAGGGGATACTCTGAGTAGGCTACGCTATTAGAGGGGGAGCTTAGCGCTCCCTATAACCTTAAACGCAAAATGCAGCCTGCAATAGCCGCCTCTAAATATAAAGCAGCAGCAGGCAGCATAGCAGCGCGAAGCAGCGTAGTAGGCAGTAGAGCAATAAGCCTATCTCCAGATATATATTAGAGACACCTCTCTAATAAGGGGGATAGCTAGAGCCTATCCTAACATAGCATTACAGCTTAAGTAACAGCTCTTAGACTTAGCTGAGATATATAGGCGTCTATCTGCTATCACTATCTACCTACCGCTAACCCTAATAAGCTTGCCTAAGCACTGTAGCTATATAGCATCTAACCTACTTATCTGTAACCTCAGAGCTTAGCTGTAGAGCAGGGATATCAGCTATACGCTCTATACCTTTTATAAATAGAGGCTAATAGTAGAGACGTATAAGCTGAAAAGGTGCTTACATCAGGTGGAATTATCAGAAGCCTAAAGCTGGCTAATAATATTCTAGATATACTAAGCTAGCAGCAGCAGGATAGGGGTGTAGTGCTATATATACTAGTTCCTACTAACGCTCTATTAGCAGACAGCCTACTAGGAACAGATAGATAAGAAGTATAGCAATCAGCAAGAAGCGTTAGCAACAGTAGATATGCTGTATAAGGAGGTGCTATACGTATAGGTAAAGGTCGTCCAGCGGTTCGTCATAGCGTATATAATTATAGGAGGCACTAGCGCTAGCATAAGCGTAAGCATATTAAGCGTAATAATGCTAGAGATAATAGGCTGGACAGATTAGTTAGGTCTGCTGTTAAATAGGCCTAAGTATATA